GATAAATTCCACACTCTCGTCAAGCCACCCTTTTTTGGAATGGCAATAAATATTGATCTCTTCCAGTCATTTGGCCAGGCAGTTGTCCTCCAGATTTCTTGACACAATCTGGCGAGCACATCTAGGTCAGCATTTGTTAAAATATATCAACTGGTATTTCATCAACTTCTAGGGCCTTGGTTTTTGTGAATTCTTTTTGCGCAGCTTGAACTTCATCCTTCACTGCCAATGTCTCTTGATCACGTTTCATGAAATTCTTCTGTGCCAGCCAATTCTTTATAGTACAGCGACTCTGTGTACTTTTTCCATCTTCTTTTACTATCTCCTATCACATGCAAGAAAGATTCTGCTGATAAATATCCAAAAACGACTGGAGCATCAAGCAGGCTGGATTTAGAAGAGGTCGTGTTAGTAAGGGATTTTATAGCTAATTATTAGATGGCTCTTAGCAGAAAGCAGAGAATACCAGAGGAATGTCTATCTGTGCGTCATTGACTATGCAAAGGCTTTTGACTGTGTGGATCACAACAAGCGGTGGTTGACTCTGAGAAAAATGGGAATCCCAGAACATTTGATTGTGTTTATGCAAAACCTATACTTGGACTAAGAGGCAGTCATCAGAACAGAGCAAAGAGACACTGCATGGTTCAAAATTGGGAAGGGGGTCCACCAGGGGTGTATTCTGTCTCCATTCTTTTTCAATCAGTATGCAGAACAGATCATCCTGGACACTGGGCTGTATGAAGAGGAATGTGGCAGCAGGATTGATGGAAGATCAACAACCTGTTATGCAGATAACACAACCCTGCTTGCTGAAACTGAAGAGAACCTGAAGCACTTGCTGAAGAAGGTCAAGGACTGCAGCCTTCAATACGGATTGAAGCTCAACATCAAGAAAACAAAGATTCTCACCACTGGACAAATTAGCCAGTATTTACATCAATTTACAGCAATATAGATAGTGAAGAGATTGAGATAGTTAACAGTTTTAATTTGCTTCGCTCAATAGTCAATACTCTTGGTACCATCAGCCAGGAAATCAAGAGATTGCATTGCAAAAGTCAGCTGTCAGGGACCTCTCCAGAGTACTGAAGAGCAACATCAGGCTCGAGTCTAGTGTGAACCTGATCCGAGCCATAGTCTTCACAATTGCATGCTATACATCAGAGAGCTGGACAATGACTAGGAATGATAGAAAGAGAATTGATGCCTTTGAGCTGTGGTGCTGGAGAAGAGTGTTGAATATACCAAGAACTGCAAGGAGAACAAACACATTTGTCCTGGGAGGGTGAAGCCAGGCTGCTCCTGAAGCTTCATCTGACATACTTTGGGGATGCTGCAAGAAGGGACCAGTCCTTGAAGAGGGACATCATGCTTGGGAGGCTGGAGGGACAATGCAGGAGAGGAAGACCCTCTACGAAAAGGATTGATTCAGGATTGGGGTTGTGGGAGTAAGTGTGTTGGAGACAGTGAGGTTGGCACAGGATAGAGCAGGATTTAGAACTCTTGTACATAGGGTCACTATGAGTAGTACTCGACGATACATAACAAGAAGATCATTCAATATTCTGCCTATTGCATCTTTAAGTATTGCAACTCAAGGGTTGAATTTTTTCCTTCAGTTCCTTCAGGTTAAGCAATTTGAGCAAGTTCATCCCTTTTCATTCTTTTTTTTTTTTTTGGCCCTGACTCTACCTCAGTGCACATTTCATTATAATACTTTGCTTTGTCATCACGATCTGCCCTTTGAAATCTTCTGTTTGGCTCTTTAGCGTCCTGATTCCTTCCCTTTGCCTTGGATTCTCAGCAATGTAGTGCAATATTCAGAATCTCTTCTGACATTCATCTTGTTCATTTCTTCCTCCTTTGCCCTTGCAATGACTTTAGACATTCTTCATGGATGATATTCTTGATATTCCCCCAAAAGTAATCTGGTCTTTGTTCCTTAGTATTGAAGGCCTCAAACCTGTTCCTGAGATAATTTTTAAATTCCGGTTAGATAGACTCAAGGTGAGATTTTGGTCCTTGTGGTTTTGATTTCATTTTCTTTAGCTTTAGTTTCAACTTGCATATGAGTAATTGATGATCTGTTCCACAACCAGCACCTGGCCTAGTTTTCACAGCTGATGTTGAGCTTCTCCAGCAATTCTTTCAAAAGAAACAGCTAATCTGATTCCTATTTGTACCAAGTCCTTGTATATGGTCAGTGTTTATGTTTCTTAGAAAAAAATGTACTTGTAATAAATAAATCATTGATTATAAAAAATTCTATCATTCTATTTGCAGCCTCATTTCTGTCAACAAGTTCAGGTTTTCCAACTGATTCTTCTTCCCTGTTCTCAACTTTTATATTCCAGTCACCCATTATTATTAATGCATCTTTGGTTGCATGTTCAGTCAGTTTCCAATTGGAAAAGTTGGTAGAAATTATTTCCTCCTCTTTGGCTCTGATTGTTGGTGAGTATGTGATCGCAGAAAAAAATGTATTTAAAACAACTTTTTTCAATAAATGAGGAACTTAAATGCAAATTCAGGTTTTCTTTTCTTACTCAAGTTTCTAAAACTCATAGTTTAAAAGAATGTAGAAGACCTTTGAAAATTATTGACAGGTCCCTTCAAAGACAAGTATGTAAATGGAAAACTAAACTATGTAAATTCATTAAAAACTTTTAAATCATATGGTTATAAGTCTTACAAGCAAATCCGCAAAGCTAAATAAAAATACCTAGCATGTCACAATGTGAAGGATGCAGGTAGTACCTAAATAGGAAAAAAGATTTAAAAAGTCAGCGTGAAATTTCTGTAGTCTATTGGCAAGGCTCTCTGATGAGCCCTCTGGTGATCTAGTGGTTAAGAAGCTGCACTGCAATCCGAAATGTATGTGGTTCAAATCTACTAGTTGTTTCACAGAAGAAAGATGCACAATTTCTTCCCATGCAATTTAATGCCTCTGGCCAATTCTGACTCAAATGTACACAACAACACAAATTGGCAAAGGAAAGAGAAACACTGAGAAGCACAATTACAAAAAGAGAGACAGAGAGAAGAGAGGATGAATGCTAGAAAGATCTTAGACTGGAGTGGGGACAGTGAAAAGATAGGATGCAGAGAGCCAGGCAGAGAGAGTTTTAGAGAAGAAGGAGAACAAAGGCAGTGAACAAAAGGGAAAAACAAAAAAATCAGCAAGGCAGAGTAAGCATCAGAGAGAGAGGGAACATTAGAGAAATAAAGCATGAGGCTTAGCAGGAGGCCTAGCCACATAGGAGCAAGATTCATTTCTCAGTCTCATTCATCATGAAGTCTTCCTCTCATGAAGAATAGCAATTCAGATATTTAGAGAAGTCTCTATTTCAAACAGAGGCAAAAGTGATTACCTTTACCAACAGTTCCTCAAACACTCAACAAACTCAACAAACGCATAGTAAAAAATGCAAACCTAGAAAATTATATCATTATGTATATATTTTTAATAGTCTTCACCTGCAGACTATTGTCAGGTGCCACTGAGTCGAGCACGACTCATAGTGACCTTATGAACAAAAGATCTGAATCCTGTTCTATCTTGTACCATCCTCACAATTCCTGACACACAAGAGCCCATTGCAGCAGTTACCATGTCAATCCACCTGGTTGAGGGTCTTCCTTTCCTTCACTGACCCTCTACCCTTCCCAACATCATGTCCTTCTCCAAGGAATAGCCCCTCCTAGAACATGCCCAAAGTATGTGAGGCAAAGACTCATCATTCTTGCCTCCAGAGAGCACTACAGCTGCACCTTCTCCAAGACAGTTCTTTGGGACCTGCAGTTTAAAGGTTCATATTACTTTGTGATGGCTACAAATTGTTCCAGATTCTAACCTTGCCTATTATTTGAGAGTCAGCTCTAAACTTTTACAGAAAACATTGATCTTTATAATCAATTCTTTTAATCTCCTTATTCAAGTCCTTATTCCAGAGTTATCCCTTGTGAAACATTTTTTTTTTAAATTTTATTAATTCTAATGAACATTTACAGAGACTTTGGATTTCTATTCATTCATTGTTGCACTTTTCTCCCTGCCCAGACCTCCTGCCAGTTCACTCCTCTCTTTGAAAAGTAAAAAAAAATTCTTTCATTGGTATATAATCCCCTCACATCCCCCCTCCCCATGCCCCGAGTACACTCCACTATGCAACCTTACTTCTGGACTCTTGTGATAACCATAATACCCTCTCATATATCGCTTTTAAATTGTTCTCACCCTCATCTGTTTCAATGCAGTATACCTAAATTTATCCAGTTTTTCTCAATTTTACCCCAACCCTGATGTCGGTTTCATTCTACAACAGTGACACCATGCAGTATTTGTCTTTTTGTGACGGAGATATTTCACTCAGCATAATGTCCTCCGGGGTCACCCATTTTGAATAATATTGCATGAGTTCCTTGTTTTTCAATGCAGTGTAGTATTCCATTGTGTGAATATACCACAGCTTCTCTGTTGATGGGCACTTGGGTTGTTTCCAACTCCTTGCTATTGTGAACAAAGCCACGATAAAAATGGGTGTGCATATATCTGCTTGGATGTCGGTTATAGTCTCTTTAGGGTATATTCCCAGTAGTGGAATTGCTGGGTCAAATGGTATCTCTATTTGCAACTTTTTGAGAAGGCACCACACCATTTTCCACAGTTGTTGCACCATTGTGGAACATTTTTTGATCTCTCTCCCTCAACTCCAGAATTTCTGAACCTTATCCTCTGTTGTTCTACTATACCTTGACACTTCTCTTACAGCATTGATCACATACTATTTGATTTCTAAATCTGTTTTGCCCTCATGTAGATGAATAAATTCTCTCTCTGCACATCATCTAGCGTATAACCTGAAACAAGCAGTCAAGTAGTTAGTAATTAATTACTGAATGAATGGTATTGTGAGTGAACAGATCCGAAATGCTTGATCAAGGGAATATATATACCGGATGGCTTTTATCAGACAGATTAAGAGTTAGTGTCTTACCTGTTTAGAGTTGGTTAAATACAATTTTGCTCCCAAATTTACGATCTGCAATTTCACCAGGTCATCTTCACTAGTGAAGCTTTTAGCCATCTTTCTTAGAACATCAGGGGCAATTTTAGGAACTCTTTCACAGTTTTCTCCTATTAGCCAAAGAATACTTGCTCGAGCCACCGGAACCTAAAATTAGAAAAGTAAACTATATTTGTTTACAAGATAATTATTTTCTCTGTATTAAAACAGAAAATGTTTTACCAATTACAGAATCTTTACATCTCTTTTAAAGGATACCCAAGAAATACCCCTATAAAATAACTTCTACAGTTATAAATAAATAAATGGTAATTTCAGTAATAATGATTTCAGAGATAACAGGTCAGAAAAGATTCATAGAGCAAAATCATTAAGCTAGAATCTAGATTCTAATATTAAGGTGGAAAAACTTAGTCAAGTGGGCAAACATGGCCTTCCTTGGGTCAAACACAGAGGGTGTGCTCATCTTTTTTTTATATTTGATGATGATGCTGTGCTGATATAGAAGAGTCAAGAAACAGAGACTGCATCCAAAATGCTGAAAATATTTACTACATAGCAATTTACAGAAAAAGTTGGCTGATATCTGCTCTGGAACATTAGGTAATGATTAACTCCATAGTTTTGTGGGGGTTTTCTTGGTATGAACTCTTAGAGAAGATTACTGTGTGATCTGAGTTGACTGTGACTTACAGTGACCCTATGCAGCAGAAAACTGACCTTTAGGGCTGCAATCTTAATGGGAGCAGATCATTAAGTCATTTTTCCCCCATGGAACTGCTGGCAGATATAACTGGCCAATTTTTTGGTTAGGGGGGTATGCCTTAATGTACAGTGCAACCAGGACTCATATTTTTAAAAAAAAGTTGAATGACTCATTAAAAAAAAAAAGCATCTCAGAAGTCTCTGAAACAAGTGGTCTACAAATAACATTTTGAGAATTAATGGCTAATACAGAGAAAAAGAGAAGATTCACTAAAATCTTTATTACATATCTAACCTGCTGTATTTCTTAGCATATTATTTAAAATATCAAAATCCTAAAATCATCAGAATTTTCTTAAAGAATCCTGTTTTACCATTTCGTCATCAACAAAGACAAGAGCAAGGATTCTGAGGCTCCGTCTAACTTACTTTGGACATGTAGTGAGGAGAGACCGGTCCTTAGAGA